GCAGAAAGTGTAGACAAAAGCAGACGACAGAACATGGTTAGAGAGCAGAAAAGGAGGTGAAAGAAGAAAATATTTTAGAAGAATATTTTCCTTTGCTGTCAGGTTTCGAACTCGGGCCTATTGGGTGAGATACGAACACCGTAACCTCTGGACAAAGAGAGACCCCAAAGCGCCCTTGCCAGAGCAAGAAAAAATATTATAATTTTGACTTCGGATAAAAAGTCTAATGTCATTATTCGTAATCAGCTCCTCAATATTCGCGTTGTCCACACCCTAAGTCTAAGTGCTCGTACGCACCAAAAGCAGTTGAGCTGAGCAGTAGCTGCGCAGTAGCTGAGCCGTTTAAATCTCAGTAATAAAGTAATATCAATTATAGTATATGACAAGATGGTCCACTCAGCCAAAAAAGTGTCCGCCGGAAGTCCGCTCTTTGCTTCAGATGGCGCTGCGGTCTGTTTTGAAGCTCTCTTTCGTTTTTCCAGAAGAAGAATAGAATAGCACCTCCTTGCGTGCGCAGATCACAAAATTCTATGGCGCAGATCGACTGCTGTCCATCAGCATTTCGGGTTCGTTCAGTGCAGAGTTTTAGGGGTTTTTTTTGTATTTTAATTACCTCTCGCCTTTCATTCTGAAGTCAAATTAAACGAAGAAAATAATCACCCTTTCCTCAGCGTAACCATTCGAAAAAAGCGTTCTTCCGAAATTTATCCAAGTAAAACTCAAGTAGGGTAACTCTGTTCGCAAAGGGTGTGCATTTGTGAAGATGGCGCCACCGAATTTTGAGGACACTTTTTTAATTTTCTCAAAGAGAGGAGTGGCCCCTCTTGTTATGTAGACTCTTTGGTAATATCTAGAGGTCTATATATAAAAGTGGACTTGAGAGGCTTTGTGCACAAACTCCTCCCTTATTACCTAACCCACACCTTTGAAACTGTGCAGGCGTCCACAGCATCCATGTGGCTAAGACCTAACCTTGAAAAATCCACGCAAACTGCTTTCCCCGACTTTTCCAAAATGCTTTGTTTCGTGATGATGATAATAATAATAATAGGATGAAAGACGAATAAGGTAACCTCTAGAGCAAAGAGCATTTTGTTGTTGCACCTATCTATTTCTCTGAGTGAGTACTTGTTATTGATAACAATTAAGAGTCCAAGATTATATTAATTAGCATCGGTTCCAATAACTGAAGAGTTGTTGAAGTTGACAGGCGATTTTAGGTTTGTTTCTTGTATTGCTAGTATATCTGGTCTCCGTTCTTCCTGGACCAACTGTTCAAGTTCATATTTCTTTCTTAAAATGGCCCTTGCGTTCCATTGAGGAATTGAGAACTTTTTATACATTGAGTGTTTAAGACTTTCAGTGTTCGACATTTTCAATATAAATGTAGGCTATTTCTTCTTTCATTGAGAAATTTATTTTTTCCGTTGTCTTTTTCCTCGTGGAGATTCATTCGAGCCCGGCGACCTCGAGTTAGATCGAATACGGACAGTGGGTGGTTGGCGGGTGCTCTGGTGTGGTTTGCTTTTATCTTCTTTCCTATGAAACATAATATCTATCGTCCTTATCTCCCCTTCTTCTTTGTTATGTTTGTTACTCTCTTGTAACGCCTCTAATCTTCTGGCGCTCATATGACCTTATGCAGTTGCGAGCGCCGTAAAACCTCTACTAAAACTAAAAGAATACCGACACCAGACGTGTTGTTAGAGGTGTGCTATCGTTTTGTTGAGGTGAGAGCGTTTGAGCTATTTTTTCCAGAATCTGAGGTACATCCTCAGGTGAATCCAAGCTTGATAAAGGAGAAATTTGAATTCTTCTTCTGGAGGCACAAAAAGAGCTTCAAAACAAAGACTGCAGCGCCATCTGAAGCGGACACTTTTTTGGCTGAGGGAACTATCTTCTTTGTCTATAAATCTAGTATAGGATCTTTGGCCATCACCCACACTCCATAGATCTAGTTATCGTTGGGGTCAAAACCGGATAATCCCAATATTAGAT